CGCTTCCATTTCCAGGAGTGTCTCTCTGGGGTATGACAGCATTAACAAGCATTGCTTGAAACGCCACGTTCCCAGTGTGGGGTTGGAGATGCAGGTGTTTCTGGACAGGTTTGGAACATCTCCTGTGTGGGGAAGAACTGGGGGCACGAGGGAGAGCTTGCACATTAATGTAGAGGAATAGCAGGACGCGGGTGGAAGATCTGTCATGTTTAGCCCTGGATAATACAAGACAGACGGAGCATATAGACTGAAATATTTCTCAAAGTCATCCACGTTTGTGTGAAAAGGTGCTCTCTCAAGACATACAGCTTTTAATGATGCTGTAAATGAATCACAGTAAGGTTTTTATGGTGTTAATAACTGTAAACTGTTTTAATAAAACCAAATGACGTCTATTGCACGTCGTTTTTAAACCTTCAATTTTGGTCCCCTGAAGGTGCACGCCAGATGATGTCTTTTTTTTTTACATCTACATCTAAAATGTATTTATAGCCATCTTCTTCTTCATCAAACCTAAACCTAATTCAGACAACATTTAATGCTGTTTTTAGGCTCATTAGACTCCCATTTCAAAAGGTTGGAAAATGTTCAAGCTCATCTTTCTAAAGCTTCTTTTATCTCATATGTTGACAATTACACTCGTTTCACTTATTTGAATGAGCTTCACACAAATAATTAGAAAAACAAACAATTTCAACCTCAAACGCCTCGTATTTAACTCTGTATTGAAACAATCCGTGAATATATAATATAGCTATCAACACAGGGGTACTTTTCAAAAAGGTGCTTCATTTTTTTTCTTCGCAAAATGCATACTTTCTGTCATGACTTACACAAAATACAAACAGCATGAAGACGTTTTAAATATATCCATAAACTACGAACAGGACGACGCTTCTTAACTTATATAGTGTCTTTTCACAGCCAATTATATATCTTTTTAAAAATAAAACTATTTTTAATTTAAGTGCCGGGTGATGTTTTGATCAAAATTGATTCTATCCGGTTTTGGTACATATAAATTCATGTCCAAAAAACGTACCTAGTTCGACGTCCAAATGTTGAACTCCATATTGATATGCAAACAAAGTCTTGGTTAGACGTCAAAATAGTAAACCTAATTTATACATTGGGTAGATGTGCAGAAGTAGTCTTGGACCAACGGACATAACATAGACATAATATGCACGTCTGTCAGATGTCTAGTGTTTAGTGGGAAGCAAGTACTGGATAATCCATAACTGGCAGTGCGTTTTACTAGGGCTGGGCGATTAATCTAAAAGTAATCGCAATTCAAAATTTTCCAGGTCAAATTTGTCAAGTCCTTAAAATTTTCAGGTCGATTATTTTGATTACTTTCTATTTCAAGACACTACAGCGTATGATGTCACGTGACCCTGCTCCGTGAATGCTTTTTTTAGGCAATGTGTGCTTTAATTTCAGTTTCAGTCCATGTTCAATAAATAGTCATAGATAGTAGATCCTACTAATTTACAAAAGTTCTCAGTGAGCTATGAGAGCAAATTTAATAATTGTGATAAAATTATCATTATCAAGCTAAAATCTTCAATTATTTGAGATTTTAATTTTGGGTGAAATCGCCCAGCCTTACATTATACATTCTAAACAGATTATGAGAAGACTTACAATATTGTACATCAGGGGTGCTCATTACGTCAATCGCGGAGGTGCTACCGGTCAATCGTGGCGTGAACTTGAAACAATATCAGCCGATCATCCATCCCGTCACAGTTCAGTAAAGTTAGCTGCAGATTCACGGATTCGGTTTTCTCTGCTCAATAGCTTGAGACCAGAATGTTCTTAGTAAACAAATAATACCTATTTTTAATCTGTGTTATGTAGCGGACGAACTACAAAACGTTTTTTATCAAAACAAGTTTCCCTCGGCATTCGCAGAAACACATTACCGTCTATGAGCATCCCCGCTGACATGGAATCGCTTAGGGACCGTCTGCAAATTACCAGATCCAAATTATGTTTTACCCAGAATATGCTTCATAACTTCATTCTAAATTACTCTATTACAACCAAAATCAAACAACACGCCACTCCTCACCTGCATATTGTACTGCATGACTCAGTTTCATTAAATTCATGCATCATTTTTGTTCTTGATTATTTGGATCAAAGCTCAATTACTCCCATAAAAATCACTCTATTACCACCCAATTCAGGTCGCACACAACTGTTCTCTTGTTTAACCCACTACAACACTCATTTTGTCTAAATTGAGACAAAAGCTAAGCTAATCAGCGTATTATGTCTGGTTTCAGCCCAAGTTTATGGTCACCAAAATGATTGAAGGAGCTGGACCAAGTAAAAAATTAAGTCCTAAATCATTAAGTCCTAATACCACTCCACAATGACTGATAAACATTTGGAAGTGTGCTTGAGGCTGGCTGTCAGCAGCTACTGTCCGGACTATGTATGTATCCCTGGCTGATTTAATTCAGTGCAAGTCATCAAATTAAACTCAGGTTATTACAAAAAATGTAAATAGTTAATTATTATGTTTGTTTTGTCAATTCTCATTAAAGTTGAAAAAAATTGTTTATTGATTGATGTTTTTTATTTTTATAGAGGGTAGATCACTTTGACTTGGTCATTTTAAAAGTAGCTCGCAAGCTGAAAAAGTGTTAGCACCCCTGTTGTAGATGATATTTAGTAAATGTGGGCATGTGGGTGCTTGTAAAAGATGGCGGCCGCTCAGGATATCTGTGCTCTAAGTAAGAGACCATCTGAAAGCAGATAAACTGCCTTGACACTTCAACTTGTGTTTTGCGAATTTTATTACATTTTTTGCATTTTTTTATGTAAACAACTGCAATTAAATCTTAATTCATCAATGTCATAGTATTACTAAACTTGAAAAATAATTTGAGTTCTTTATTTTAAACTATTTTGACAGCTTTCTCACAGTGAGAGATATAGACGAGTCCTTTAAAACATAAACATTCACCCTTTTCATGTTCTGCTCATTTTGGGTTGTTTTTGTATGATTAGTAGATATTTTTTTACATTAAAATATCCCATCTTCTGTACCCACCTTTGAGACCTTTATATGGAAGGTAAGAAATATTAAAGTTGCCATACTGTCTCCTGGGCTATTCGAAACTGAAATGAGTGGAATTTGATTTACAAGAGAGCTCTACATGCATAGAAGCAACCGATAGACAAGCAGCAATGTGGTAACAACATGAAGGCTAAGAAGGACAAAACCACAAAAACACACAAAAAACTGAACAAAAAACTTCATTTCAAAATGAATGACACTATGTTTTGGGGGAAAAAAAACAGTTTGGAAAGCACCACGACAAAAGTGGGTATTAAAAAAAATCACAATTTTTTTATACGGATTGGATGAGACCTGTCCATTCAAAGAAAAGGAAAGTGCAGGATGCTAAACAAAACTAATTCGGAATATATCATATTTCCTCTCCATTTCCATTTAATGCAAAGTTTATGTCCATGTAAATTGTATATATATTTTTACATTTTGTAGATATCTTGTTCGGTGGAAAGACTGCTGTCATCAATCAAAAAGCAACCAATTGTCAAGCTACCCCTTTCAGTGTGTTTAATTCTGTTTGTTTTTTATATTAGTGTATTGTTTTGTTTTGTTTTTCTTATATATTGATTTGTTTACATATTTGTCATAGTGTTTTCTGTTTTGTTAGTTGCATTCATAGTTGGGAAGTCTCGACCACAATATTACAGAGAAAACCTAACATTTAGAAAACATTAACATCACATTTAAATTGATTTGAAACAATAAGAGTAAATCTAAAATGGAAATTGTGTGAAAGGAGGATTGAACTTGAAATATAACATACAGAAGTCAGTAAAACCCTCAAAGAATCCGAGAAGTGTTGTGATGTGAAGTTGTTTTTTTTTCTGAGTTCCATACATGTTTCATTTCGCATAAGATCACCAAGATCACATAATCAGAGTAATCCGAGGCCCTTGGGTGATGTGTAGTAATCCAATGGGAGTGTCTCAACCTGACATCATGAATGTTCAAAACTATTGTCCAATCAGAGCAGTAGATGATTCATGATTAATAGTGAAGATTCGATCGACCTGCCCACAGAAAAAAAAATTGATTAATCAAAAATTACTAAATAGATTCACGCCCCCCTTTAAAACTATTATAATGTTTGAGCTCATCAGTCGATGAAAGCAGGGACGAGAGCATCCGCAGAACAGACCCCAGTGCAGCCGTGTCTCACTCAAGGTGAGAATTGTTTTTGTTCTCACAATTCACACAACATCTTTTGTCTTTCAGCTTTGAGGCCAAACATTAGCTGAGATGTGTCGCACAATGTGGGGCAGAGGGAGAGAAATCAAGGTGGGTGTGTTTCTCACAGTGGTGGTCTATAAGCTTTGCTGCAGAGGTGTTTAAAAACCCATCTGGCTCTCAGTAGTCACAAAATCTGGATTGCGTTGCCTCTCTCTGCTACTTCCTGCCATTGATCAGAGGAAGCAGGAAGTTCTGCTATTCTTTCGAATGTGTTGGTACACTCACTGACACCCTCTGGAATAATAATCAGACTCCACTTTGTCTTTCCCATGTCTCTGATCAAAACTTGAGTACAATAATGAGCTTGAATGAGCACGTGTTTAGAATCGATATCGGAATTTTAATAAAGCCTTATTTAAGACAAGAGTAGTATTCATCCATTTCTTTGAAATAAGTAGGGATGTCATATTTGGAATGAGACCAGGGAGACCATAAACACTATGAACTATGACTCTACAACTTAAATTGTTAACAACAATTCTCAAAATATCACTCAACCTTCCATTTTTAGCCAAAGCTCTGGAATGGAACACCTACGCTTATTTCTTCAGACTAAAGGCCTCTACACCCGACTCTCCAGGTGGCTTCTCAGCAGGGTGCTCTTCACCTGGTTCGAGGAAATTTTGATGCAATGACGCTCCCTACGTTTACAGTACAACAAGTACGGTACAAGTCCATATCCTTGGTGGTCTAGTGGTTAGTATTTGTCACTCCCACCTCCACGGCCCAGGTTTGATTCCTGTTTAGGGAACATTTGTTTACTGAAGATCAGAAGGTCGAGGATTTGATTCCTCATCTTGATTTTGACTCAACTATGACTGTGGTGCCCTTGACCAGGTTCCCTCACTCTGCAGCTACTATGGCTGCCCACTGCTCCGGGTCTGTGTTCATGGTTGTGTGCGTGAAGTTAGATGGGTTAAACGCAGAGCACAAATTACTTCTATGGGTCACTCCATATTTGGTCCTAATGTCACTTTCATTTTTCACAGATGTTTCAGGTGTTGTCAGCTCTATGAAAATTAATTGCTATCTTTGGAAAGAAGACACTGCCTAGAAACTCTCTCTCAACTTCACTGTGGTTGTAGGGTTTGATTGTTCCTCAACCATCACTAGGTTTTAGTTTACATGTGACATTAGTCATGTTTCCTTTCAAAGATGCAAATTAAATTTATGCATAAAACTGGAATATCGTATAAAATATTCACAAATAAAGCACTGTTTCCATCCAACGAGTCAAAAAGAACTAAACCGCCACTACCTGATAAACTGGTGCCTATTATCAACAGAAAAATGGAAGTTGCATTACGAGAAGGCCTTTTTTCGCATATAACTTACTTCTGTTTTAGAACACGTAGACGAAACGCAACAAGCGCAGTCATCTCATTTTTGGAGGCAAGAAGGACACAACCGTGTGTAGATCTCAGGTTTTATGGGTGGTTATATTGCAAATAGAACTGGCCAACTAATGCAATACAAGCAATGTTCCTGTTATTCTAAATTCCTACTATTAAAAACCTGTGCAGATGACTATTAAACAAGAAAGGTTTAAATAAAAACCAGGTATTTTGAAGGCCAAATACTACCAAAACAAAAGAGCTTCCGTTAACGGTAGAGTTAATTATAATTCCTTTTACACACATTGGCTCAAAACAAACCTGATGCTAAAAAACCGGATCAGGTTTGTTTAACTCAAGTTGGTGGCCTTTGGGAATGGAGCTTTATGTAGTCCTGGTCTACACTTCAATCCTACTACTAACAGTAGTTTGACAATTGTAAATTTACACCAATGACTAGACGGTGTCCAATTTCAGCAGTCGAGGAATCGCGTGGAAAATACTTCCCTCCTATTGGACGCCGCTGTTGCTTCTAATTAACATAAAGTTAAACATTTTTTTACTTTTGTCACTTATCGCTGGCCACGCCTGCGGTCGCTCATGCTCTCATTGCTAGAAGTCGCCGATCACCATTGAAAATGACTGGGATCGCATCTTCTTGATGCTGCTCTTCCCTTTTGGCCTGCACACGGTGTAAGTGATGTTTGTATAACAAGTTTCGGGAGGGACAACCAGTGTTCCCAATCAAACTATCGAGCCAGTTCTATTTGACTTTGTCCAAGCTGCACCTCATACCCTCACTGGGAGGTATAGCATGAATACTGTCCAAGTTCTGAAAAAATTTGGTTCATATGTTTGTTCCTGCCACTCAATGCTCATCCTCCCCTTTCGACAAGCATAGATCTGTAGCATCCAAGCTGCATCAGTAGTGTTTAGGAGCTAAACTGTGCAGGCTGTGGCCCTGTAGGTAAGGAGTTTCAGACCCCGAAGAATCAGATCTGTGAAACATGGTTAATTATGAGGCAGCAAAATAACTGTCTAACAGTATATAAAAGAAATATTCTTTACTTTTGCAGTACTGAAGTGCTGTTTCGGTAAGTGCCAGCATCCAATACTCCAACTGCAAATGGTATACACAAAAAGGAAATCCATTTATAGTGAATAAAAAGCGATGTAGATTATAAAGGGTCATCCAGTGGGATTTGGTTTGTTGAAACCAGAACAAAAATGAAATGAAACTTTGCTGAACGTGTTTTTCTTCGTGTGCCAATATCTGTTCCTGCTGTTGAAATGGAAGTGGTGGAGTTTCAAATGAAAGCCGACAGGCCCCAATAAATCAAGCTAAATCACAAATCAATAAGAAATACCAGCTAAATTATGACTAATGGCATAGCAGTCATAAACTAACAGCCACACAACTCAGCAGGCCATTAATTTCATGGCGGTGCAAAATAAACAGACACATTTCTTTCATGGCCCTAATAAATTTCCCCGAAAAAGTCAAAGAACAGCCCATCTGCTTCCAATAATTTTTAATTTCCCTTTCTGTCCCGTTCTTATTAGGTATTCCACAGAGATATTTGTTCATTTACTCCTCCCATCTGCATTCAATTACGAGATCCCCAAACACGCTTCATATTTGTTTCTCACCAGAAGTGCCCCCCAGCCCCCACCACCTGTATCTTAAGCAAACTTTACGCTCCTTTTATTATCTGTGACTCATTCTGGTAGTGCTGCATGCCGGAGCTGTGCGCAAGTTGGACTAGAATCTGCTTTTTGATGTGTTTTGGCTGGGCCAGAAAACACCTGCACCTATTCTCTGGGCTAATCTATTAGACTGGTAAATGGCTGAGCAGATGTTCTGCGATCAGCAGGGACTCCATGCCGGCTTTACGACCCATTCCTCTGTTCGCCCGTGGCTTCTGAACTCAGATCAGAGGACACTTGTGTGTTTGCTGTGTTTTCTTTGTAAATCATATTTTCAATAATAGCAGCCCCCTTGGGGGTCATCCATAGCCCTTAAAGTGCACACTTAGTTCCTACGGACTCGATGAAGCAGTGGAAGTCGGGGTAATTGCATTCCTTGGGCAATATTTATAAATTCCACCTTTCAAACAGCCAGGCAATTTACTCCTCTCAATAAAATGTAGAGGATGAGGATCACAGATTGCAAAAGCAGTTACGTGACAGGATCTCATTACTCAAAAGACTACTCAAAAGTGTAATGTTGCGTCGGAAGCGTATAGAATCAAACCAAAGGGAGCGTGATTGCCCAGATTTTCACATGGCACCCTCACGCGCATCTCTGTGCCAAACCCTGGGGTCACACAGGATCAAAATGACCCTGCTAGACATTTACTGACATTTTACATGATGTGATCTGACAACTATTGCTCGGGAGAAATTGTCCTCTTTCTGAGCCGGTGCATGCTACGGGATGTTTTCTTCAAAGACAAAGACGCTGCCCTCGAGAGGGCTGCCACATCTGCACACAAATCAATCTTGTTCACACGTGACAGTTCAAGTTGTTCCTACGTGTCACAGGACTGATAAGCAGAGAATCTGGATGTCATTTCAAGCAAGGAGACGATAATTTACACGTGTTCCCATGCCAACTATTAATAACTGACTGCTTTATTGCCGAGCCAGCCAGTCATGCTCTTCTTTAAAGAAGATAGAGCATGTCAACAGAGTTTTCATAAATCCTGCCTGAAGGAATGTGGCATTAAATGGAGGTGAAAACAGTGGCAAAAATAGATACAACATATGACTGTAGTTTCCAACGGTCAAGGCATGGGAAACAGCGCCTCCTCTGTTTCTGTTTGACTTAACCATAGCTTGAAATATTTGCAGCCATGTTGGATTTTGCTGAACTTCGTATGGGTTGGATGATGCTTTTTGTTTTTACAAATTCAGGGAGTTTGCATCAGATCTGCAACGTATTTTATTCAAACTTAAAGTGGATTTCTTCAAATCCATTTTCTTTAGCCTTGTATTCCTGGCCAGGTTCCTGTTCCCAAGGTGCGCAATATTTAATTTTGTGAATCAGAAACATATGAGTTTCACTCTTTGAAATAACTGACAAAAATATACATTTTAAAAAAATTCCAAAATATATGCTCAATGATTCTGGATGAATTGTTAAAGTATTCAAGAGAACAGAAAACAACTAGAAGGCTAAAGTTTGCAAACAAACTTTAATGTTGGCTTGTAAAAGTGCTGCTTTAAACTCTTTTTAAAAATGTTGTCAATGCCACAATAAGTAAAATAAACCAGCTCACATGTCTAATGTCCTAAGCTTAGCTATATGCCAAATTGGTTGCTATGTTAAACAGGCTGGTTGCTATGGGGTGGCCAGTGACATATTATAGTGCCTACTGTGCAACCATGAGTGCCATAAACCAACCCCCCTGTCTCTATTCCAAGGCTGAGATAAAGACTGGTTGCTATGGTAAACTGCCTGGTTGCTATGGAGGGGTCAGTGGCATATTATAATGTTCCCCATGTCACTTTGCGTGAAATAAACCCTGTTTCTATGATTTCTAACTATAGAGGTGCTATAGATGCCCAATTCTGAATTCCGATTCAGAATTTTTGTTGTCACCTTCTGTTTAAACCCATATCTGCTTGTGTATTTTTAAGAACTAGCATTGTAAATTGCTTGTGCATATAGGAGGAGGAAAGGGACCATTATTGCAGACTGGGCATGTATTTTTTATTGGCCTTGACCATTCAGAGATAGGTCTTGGTGTTTGAGATCTAAAGATTTGTGGGAGCTATAGTGGGTCCGACAGCAACTTGCAAACTCGCATCAGGGTTTCGATCACTCATTTCTTTGTGATGTCCTTGCATTAAGGTCCATACAAAATTCATCCATTCATTTTTCCAACCCACTTATTTATTCCCTTTTTGGGTTTATGGTGGTCTTAATGTGCTAGACCCATTCTGCAGAAGGAAACGTCAAACCATTTAATCCAAACCGTCACAAGCTGCTTGATGAGAAGGTGACGCCGGTTGGAGAGGTTATACACAAATGAAAATACCGATTAACAATCTTCCTTGGTGTAGAGCTCCATGCAAGATCTCACTTTGTTAAGATACAATGGTAATGAGAACATTTTGAAAAATCAAAGCAGCTTGGTCAAGAGTCACCAAGAAAACAACTGGTAACATGCTACTCCGTGAAGAACTGAAAAGAGTGAGAGAGAGATGAAACACAAGACCAATGTGCAAAGAGTGGTGAGTGTCTCTAGCCAGACACGACTTTGATCCCAAAGAAATCTGTGGCTGAAGCTGAAGGCTCCATATATCGGCCTCCAAACCATAAAAACCAACAAGTACTTAGCTGTCATTTGTGAAGGGGTCAAGTACATTATTTACTCACTTTGTATCTTTTTTTCAAATGCCTTTTCTTGTA